AAGTTTAAAGTTCAGTCCTATGAAAAGGAGAGCACAAAGCATGATCTTGAAATAAATGAGGCAGTATCTGAAAAATACCATAAACTTAGAGTGACTGTTGAAGAATATTTTGATCACTACTGTCACTAAGATCATCACCATCCTTTCGCTGATTTTACAGACATATGAAGCTGTTGAGCCAGGTGATCTCTGAGATCTCTTCCAGCTCTAACATTCCATAACTCTGTGATTTTGAGTTACTGCTGGGAAAAGGTACAGTTATATTCAGACCCACAGTTCAGTGCTTTGGTCAGTCATACGATTTCTATGGCATAAATGAATTGTGGTCTGAAATGGTATAAAATAGCAGTTGTTCAGGATTTCAAAGATTGTTCCTTTATACTTATGCTGGAGAAGAGTCTGGGTCCTGGAAATTAACATGTTCCTTTTTGTATAACTCTAGCTTCATGACATTTTTTTTTTCCTTTTAAAGAGAGAAATTGGTTTATAATTATTTTTTGTTTTATGGTATTATGGTAAGAACACTTATCGTGAGAGCTACACTCAACAGATTTTGAAGTGTACAATATAGTATTGTTATTTAACAGGGACAGCAGAACTAACAGATGGAATCTGCTTTGGTGCTCCTTTGGGCATTTTTTCTCCTGGCACTGCGACTGTCTGGGCCTGATAGTGGGTCCCTGAAGGAAAAGACATTTCAGACATAGAGCCCTGGGCTTTTTGCCAGCTTCAGAAATTTAGCTGCCAGGTGTTCCTCAATGAAAGATATTTTGAAATTCGTATTTTGATTCTTATCCAAGAGTGACTAGAAGATAAACATGTTAAGTATCATTTTGTATTTTTAATAAGTATACTCTTTTAGCACTTCCTGCATACCAGGAATTGCAGGACACTGAGCTTCAGGTCCCTTAGAGCTAGAAATACTTGTGCCTAAGTTATGTAATAGTTTCTGGCACATGGATTTCCTAAGGGCACAAATTAGGGTAGAGAAGGGAAAAATGTGATTATGGTGCTATTTCTGTTGCTGCTCCTTCTCTTGTTCCATTAAAGACAAAGTTGTTAGCACGCAATAGTAATGATTAAAGATACATTGAAGAGGACTTCCTTATAAACCACAGTGTAAAAGATATACAGTGAATCATAAAATCCATGTCAGAAGCCAAGGGTTGAAACTCATGTAGAAGAAAACCCTTTCTTAATTTAACATGGCAGTGGAAGATTTTGGCTGTCTGGTAGACAGTGAAAGAGGATGCATTATTGCAAAGTGGGAATTTTGAGATCATCTACCAAACAGTTCAAAAAATTTATCATACCTATGGGTCTTTGATGCTCCCAGGTCCCATTTTAGCGTTAGTTTTACTTTGTTACTATTGTTCATGTGTACGTGTATGTATATGCTTTAGTGCAAAACTATGATAGCTACATTACAAAAAAATTTAGAAAAGAGAGCAAAGAATTATAATGTAATACCATCTCTAACCTAACCACTGTCCTCTTATTTCTTTTGAATTTTTTCCGAACATCTTTTTAAAATATAGTTAATAATCATATATTTTAGATCATCACCATTTTCCATTTTACTAGATTATCTTTTTTAAAAAGCTATATAGCATTCCTTTGAGTAAACTATTATTGACCTAAATAATTTCTAGTGTAGGGTATACAGAGTTTTCTCCCAGCTTCTTTTTTCAGACTGTGCTTACCCACCAGCTTCTTAATATTATAATATTGTATTCAACAGTTTCATGCATATAGAGTTTTCTCCATTTTGGATTACTTTCTTAGAGTAGATTACCACTGCATTTTTGTTACTCTTGCTACATATTATCATTGTTTTTCCAGAAGATAGTACTAATTGACAAGATCACTAGCAATGTATGAAGTCTAGTAATGCCACATCCTTGAATATTATTTTTTAATAATTTTGCTAGTTTAATGTCAACAGTTTCATTATTTCCTTAATTAGCACCAGTAATTGGATTTTCTTCATGTGTATTTACTGGTTACATTTCTTTCATGAATTGTTTGTTCTTTATATACAAATCTTTTAAGGTCTTGAGGAATTAACTTTAACTTTTTAAAATTTCTATCCATGTATTTCACATTGAAAAAATTGAAACCACGTTATATGCAAGCAAGGAAAAAATAAAAATTGCTCATATTGCTACCACATAGAAATATCCACTTGTGGTATTTTAAGTATATTTTTCTGGCTTTTTATGTGCATCAAGTTTTGTCTTTTATAATGAACAAATACAGAATGATATTGTTAACTTACTTTTTTCTCATTCAGTATTCTAATGTGTTTAATGCTTTTTTATTGGTACTACACGCTCTTTCCTAAAATTTGGAAAAATATAGGAAATATAAAGAAGAAAAATTACCCATTATTCTGCCACCCGGAGATAATGCCTAT